GAAAAATAAACAAATTAACCTGCACTTACCTTTGAAGACCTTCATGGCTGATGTGAGGGAGATGAGAGGAGGGTTATTGTGTAGGATGACTTTCACTATCACTAACGGAATCACTGCTATCTATTGGCTCTGGAATCTTTTATTTTCGTGCAACTTTAACAAGAAACCTATCCAGTGACACTTGCTTTTTCCTCCTTTTGAGGGTTTCGCAGAAATGTGACATTGCACTGTTGTTAAACAGATTCATTATGCGCACTGCTACAGCCTTAACCAGGTCGCGCTATTCTATAAAATTTTGCACTATTGCACACATTTTACATATCATCTTAATCTCATTTGAAGTGAATGATTTCTCTGCCTTTCCTCCTCCTCCTCTGCAGAGGAGATGCAGATGTACACTTTGTATAAAATCTTGTAATTTCGGCCACTCACATACCTCTTTTATATGTGTTTCTTCCTCACTTGATGTGTTCCTTCCTCACTTCCACTGTAATCATCTCTTCCTTCAACCTTTTTTTTTTCTTTTCACCCTTTCTGCACAGGGTCCATTTTATATGCTCGCTGTACTTTAGTACAGTAATAATAAACTCTTGTCATACACCGTATTTAATGTAACTGGCAATAAAGCAGCAGAGGAAAAGGGTCTGTATCTGCAGGCAGACTGACCTAGAATGAAGCAAAGCCTCTCTCAGCTCACTCTTGTATAGAAAAGCAAAGGACTGTCCAAAGGTACTTTGAAGTGACAAAAAATACACTAGTGCCAGTTGTGGGTACCTTCCAACGTTATGAAAAATCATTGATTTCTGCCAAACACTGTGCCCTGAGACTGAGCATCTGAGCATGGGAGATGATCACACACAATCCTGCAGAGATAGAGAGAGAGAGAGAGAGAGTATGTAGTTCTGTGATGCTTTTTGATTCATTTGGACAATTTCTTTTTATTTAAGGTATTTATTAACATTTAAGGTATTTATTGATGTATTTGGATTTAAGTCTATTATCTGATATATATGTATTTTATGTATTTTATATGTATCATTTTATGTATTTTATAATTATATATATTTATGTTTGTTCCTCTGATTTTTGTTTCTTTGTACTTCTTTTCCAGCATCCTTTTAGATTAGTGAATATTTTTAAAATCCTTGTTTAGGGACACCTCGGGGCTCAGATGGTTCGGTGTTGGACTCGACATCGGCACTCAGGTTGTGATCTCCTGGTTGTAGTCTCAGGGTCTTGAGATTGAGGCTCATGTCAGCTCCATGCTGAGTTTGGAGCCTGCTAGAGATTTTTCCTCTCTGGCTCTCTCTGCTCCTTCTCCACTCTCAAAATAAGTAAACAAGTGTTTGAAAAAAAGAATTCTTGTTTAGCTCATGTTTGGTTTTTTAGCTATACATATTTACATTTCTTCTTTTTTTTTCTTTAAGTGATTGTTCTAAAGATTATATAGATGCTCTTACCATTTCTGTGTACTTAGAGTTGTTTTTTTCACCATTCATGTGAAATGTGGAAACCTTAGGTCTCCATGAAAGTAGATAGAATACATATCATCTCTATTAAAAAAAAAAAAAAAACCATCGGGGCATCTGGGTGGCTCAGTACGTTAAGCGTCCGACTTTGGCTCAAGTCATGATCTCACGGTTTGTGGGTTCGAGCCCCTCGTCGGGCTCTGTGCCAACAGCTAGCTCAGAGCCTGGAACCTGCTTCTGATTCTGTGTCTCCCTCTCTCTCTGACCCTCTCCTGCTCACGCTGTCTGCCTGTCTCTCTGTCTCAAAAAAGTAAATAAAACATTTAAAAAATTATAAAAAAACTATCTACTTTCATTATAAACTCTACAGTGAAACATTGTATTTTTTACTTTAAGTACATATATGTATTTTAAATTAATTAAAGGAAATACTTTTTTATATCTCCCCATATATTCATCATTTCCAGTGGTTTTCATTCCTTCCTAAATATCCCAAGTTTTCATCTGTCATCACTCTCTTAATCCCGAAGAATTTATTTTAGAATTTACTGTACTACAGATCTACTGTTGATGATTATGGTTTATTCTTCCCATCACCTTAAAAATGTCTATGTTTTACTTTCAGTTTTTGAAGGATATTTTTGCTAAATGTGAAATTCTGGTTTGAATGTTGTTTTCTTTCACCATGTTAACTAAGAACTTTATTCTACTGTCTTCTGTTCTCCACTGTATCTGGTGAGAAGCCAGCAGTAATGAGTATCATTGCACTCTTCCCTGTATATAATATTTTCTGAATACTTTCAGGATTTCTCTTTACTTTTGGTTTTCATCAGTTTCATCAGTACTCATGATCTCCATATTTATCTTGGGGTTCACTAAACTTCTAGGATCCGATAATTTGTTTTTCACTAAATTTGGGGAAATAATAGCCACCACAAAAAAAAATTGTTCTCTATTATTTTCTCTACTTCTGTGTTTTACCATGTTAGACATTTGGATATTGTTATGGAGATCCTGGAAGATCTATTTTTCTTATTGACAGTCTTTCTTTTCCTCTTAGTTCTTCAGTTTGGGTAATTTTGATTTATTTATTTCCAGGTATACAGGTTCTTTCCTCTGTTGTTACTTAACTCTGTTGTTAGTAATTAGTAGATTTTAATCTCACTAAGCATAATTTAAATTTCAGATATTATATTTTTTAGTTATAGAATTAGTTTTTTTTCATTTTCTAGTTTTCCTGCTGAGATTTCTGTATTTATTGCAAGCATAATTATACTTTTTTTTCTTAAGTAGTTTATTGTCAATGTGGTTTCCATATAACATCCAGTGCTCATCCCCACAAGTGCCCTCCTCCATGCCCATCTCCCTCCTTCCCCTCTCCTCCAACCCCCCAGCCCTCAGTTTGTTCTCAGCATTCAAGAGTCTCTCATGGTTTGCCTCCCTCCCTCTCCCCAACTATTTTTCCCCTTCTCCTCCCCCACAGTCCTCCGTTAAGTTCCTCATAATCCACCTATATGTGCAAACATATGGTATCTGTCCTTCTCTGCCTGACTTATTTTGCTCAGCATAACACCCTCAAGTTCCATCCACATTGCTACACATGGCCAGATTTCATTGTTTCTCACTGCCATGTAGTATTCCATGGTATAGATAAACCACATCTTCTTGATCCATTCGTCCGCTGATGGACACTTAGGCTCTTTCCATGTTTTAGCTATTGTTGAGAGTGCAGCTATGAACATTGGGGTACATGTGCCCCTATGCATCGGCACTCCTATATCCCTTGGGTAGATTCCTAGCAGTGCTACTTCTGGGTCATAGGGGAGTTCTATTGTTAATTTTCCTCAAATAATTATACTTTTTTAGAATCCTTGTGCTAATTCTAACATTTGACTCATCTCAGGGTTAATCTCCACTGACTATCTTTTCTCTTGAGATTAGATCACATTTTTCATGCTTTGTTATATTATCTAGTACTTTTATCCTGGGTATGGTAAATGGTCATATTTTGAAAAGTCTGGATTCTGTTATATTCCTAAAAAATAATGATTTTTTTGTTTGCTTGTTTGTTTTAGCAGGAAATTTAGTTGAATAAAAATTGGAAAGTTCCTGTCTCTCTGCGTACATTTGAAATTTTTAGTTCTTTTACCCTTAGCTATTTGGAGTTTTCCCCTCATATGCATAATGTAGGGGTTAGCCCAAGATTTGAGTAGAATATACATCTAGAATTTGTGGCTTTCTCCTCTGAATCTTTCAGGATTCCCCTTTCATTTTCCTTTTGTGGTGGTTGCCCTGCATCTACTGGTTTTTTCTGGCAGAAATCCTGAAGTTTTCTTTTGGAGTTTTAGCTGCCCTACATGGCACAGACTTAGCCTTGCCTCGGAAAAGAAGCTAATATAAAAAGGGAAACTTTCTTGTTTCTCTGTTCTTTTCCCAAGTGTTGGCTCCTTACAGAATCTGCCTTCCTTTGGTCAGTATCCAGTGCCTTCAGATGTTTTTTATAGTGCTCAATAGGAGAACTAGTCTGGGAGAGGCTTTCTTGTCAGTATAGATCCTGTCAGTAAGACAGGATCTGAAATCTTTACTTTTTTAAAAAAACACATAGAATATCCTATCTAATACTGACATTCAATACAAAGAATGGCTAGATGAGGGTAGAAGAGAGGAATAGTTTTGTTGTAACAATTAGAAATAAAAGAGTTGTGGGGCGCCTGGGTGGCTTAGTCGGTTAAGCATCCGACTTTCGCTTAGGTCATGATCTCGCGGTTCGTGGGTTCGAGCCCCGCGTCGGGCTCTGTGCTGACTGCCAGCTCAGAGCCTGGAGCCTGTTTCAGTCTGTGACTCCCTCTCTCTCTGACCCTCCCCTGCTCACGCTGTNATATTAAAAAAAAAAAAAAAAAAAAAAAAAAAGAAATAAAAGAGTTGAATAGCTATGGAAGCCGAGATTGTAGGAATAGGGAAGATCCTACTTTTGGAAATTAGCTTAGATACATTTAGATTTGTTATATTATCTGGGGATACTTGAGTAATCAGAACTTGATTTGAACCTTTAAGACTTACACTTATAACACTTTTTGACTAAACCTTAATTTCCTTTAAAGTTGACAATATATATTTCCCTTATATAATTTTATCTTATTTTAAAGTTTCTTTATTTTTGAGAGAGAGAGAGAGAGCAAGAGCTTATGTCTACATGATTTGGGGTGGGGGGAGAAGAGAGAATCCTAAGCAGGCTTAGTGCTATCAGCATGGGGCTTGATCCCACAAACTGTGAAATTGTGGCCTGAGCTGAAATCAAGAGTCAGATGCTTAACCTGCTTAAGCAACTGAACCACCCAGCCACCCCTCCTTTGTGTCATTTTAATTTAGTGTACCTCTTCATAAAGAAGCCTATACAAATGCTTACTTCACACAGTTACTAAATCTGAAACTAAAACTAAATTCTTTTCTTTCAGATAATTTTAAAGAATATTTGTATTTTATAATACAAAATATACACTAACTGAATGTAATAAACTCTACTTATTATAGGTCTAGGTCAAGACCTCGTCCACGTTCCCATAGTCGAAGCAGTGAAAGGTCCAGTCACCGAAGAACCCGTAGTCGGTCTCGGGACAGAGAACGACGTAAAGGCAGAGATAAGGAGAAAAGAGAAAAAGAGAAGGACAAATGCAAGGACAAGGAATTACACAACATCAAACGTGGGTAAGTTGAAGCAAATCTTAAGCAGTGATGACTCAGTGATTCCATGGCAATATTCAAACAGTTTTCATTCTCTGAGGTTTTAGATGGATAAAAGAGGAGAATATAGTAGATAAAGAAAAAAGGATAAAATCAAAATGGTTATCTCAGGTTTTTACTGTTCTTCCTTTGTATTCTTTTTTTCGTTTAATACTTACATAACAAACTTTAGAAACCGAAATAAATGGCACTATCAAAGCATAGTAGGTCAATAAAGGAATATTTACATAATTCTTCAGGAAAGTTATATTCAATTTCCTTAGCATGAATATGGATTTAAAATTTAAAGACTAGTTCATAATTAAAAATGTCTATTAATTTATTGTAAAGCTGTTAGGCAAAAAGGATAAATGTGGAGGGAAGGAACCGTGTGATTTACTGTGGGTTAGGCCTCTTTCAGTATATAATGGGACTTGGCCGGTGTTAAGGTGTGTATTTTAGTGTGAGTGTATGTGTGTGTGAGGCCAAGAATTTATTTTTTCCAGAATTGATATTATTGAAACAGTTATTCAGGCTTTGTCCATTTGGAGGTTGGAATCCATTCATAAATAACTGTTTATTAGAAGATGCTAAAATGAAAAAAAATCTTGGTTGGTAGTATGAGTTATAACTTCTTGTTTATTTTATTCAAGACTGCCATTGGGTCTTTTATTATATGAAGTAGAACATTTCATATTTATCTCCCTTTATGAGCCTTTCTACGCCCCATGTATATTCATTGTGATATTTCAGTACAAAAAATGTTTTTCTTTAATGGATCAGTTTACAGTGTTAAAGAGCTTACTTATCAAGGTCTTGAATGTAGTTCCTTGAGATCTTGATTCTATGAAGAATTCAGTTTATTAAAGAATATGGAACTGACCTCATTTTGACAGTTGTCTGTCAATTTTTTATTTTCAGATTTATAGTGATATTACTTAGATATGCCAGATTCCTTGAAATGATAAATTTGTAGTGGATTTTGGAAGAAGATAACATTATTATGTGACTTTTTCCTTCTCACCTCACAACTGTGAATGCACGTAGACCAGTTATTGTGGTCCTGCAAAATTCTGAGTTCTGTCTTTTTCTAGTTTTAAGGGGTGTTGAATATTATAGGAGAGGAGATAGGATTGGATTTCTGGCCATAAGGATAGGGAGGATGCGTTAGCTAGAGTAGGAGAGTAGAATTAAGATCAGAACGGATAGGGGAGAAATCTGTTGGTAAAAAGAGAAAGTCAGGAGGATGATAGATGTGAAGAGAGGATATAGAGTAGGTTTCTGAGACTGGAAGATATGGACTGAGGATGAATAAATTATGTCAGTCAAGGAACTGCTTTGCTTTTTGTTCTTTTTTGTTTTTCTTTTGGTTTACACTTTAGATAGTACATGGCTACGAGAAGACTGAATATGATTTTTACTAGCCATTACATTTTTGCTTTCTGCGCCACCAGAATAATTATACAGTTGTACAAAATTGATATTACATGATGCATTATTTTGAGGATATTACATAAAGCATTATTTGAGTGCATGGATAAAAAAGGGAGGTTGGGTGGTTTCAGGAAAGATTCTCATATGGGTAACATCAATCTTGAAGGTCTGGGCCAGCTAGCTTTACAGGTTAGATTTCAGTGTTTACTATGTTTAAGGGACTGAATCCTTGATGATAGGTCTACAAGATAATGTTGTATTCATCATTATTTTTTTTTAAATCTCAACAAAGGAATGAACAAGGTCAAACCAAGAAGGGTCAGGGCGCCTGGGTGGCTCAGTCAGTTAAGCTTCCAACTTCAGCTCAGGTCATGATCTCAGGGTTCATGAGTTTGAGCCCCGCATCAAGCTCTGCACTGATAGTGCAAAGCCTGTTTAAGGTTTACTCTCTGCTCCTCCCCCACTTACACTTGCTCTCTCTCACAATAAATAAATAAATGTAAAAAAAAAAAACCCCAAACCCAACAATAGGTGTCAGTTAAACAACTCTAGGAACTGGTGTTAAAAAGCTGTGATTAGCTTGATTCAGTAATTTCCATGATTTTAGTGGACCATAATATAGAGTGGTGTTGTATCAGGGTATTCTCTCTCCTGGTCAGTGCTGAGGATACCAAATTCTTTCCTTTTGGTATAATCTAAAATCAGGATTTTTTTCAGGTCAGTGTACACATTGAATACGGTAGTGTTTATATATGTACAGATGCACCCTGCTTTACTTTAGAAATAATTTATCTTTCTGTTTTTTCCTCTTAACATGTTTACTTCCTAAACCTGTTTTTTTTAAAGACATTCAGATCAGTGAATGTATCTTATACTTTTTTTTTTTTAATCATTTAGAGTACCTAGTGTGCATGTTGTTAACAAATATTGATTGGTTTTTGATATATACATTCATGCATTCATTTGTTTGCTTGTTCAGTCAACAATATTTAAATACCTTATATTTGTTAAGTATTATGTTGGTAACAGGGACATAATAGGAGGCCAGTGCTACTTGGAGAGTTCATGCAGATGGCAAAATAAGCGTAGATGGAAGGGAAGGTGTGTGAGTAATTACAGTGAAATCAGGTGGATGTTTCACTAGGAGGTTATAGAAACCTTGTTATAGAAACAAAAGCAAACATGCTTTTGGCCATGGTAACAAAACCTAACCAACAGCAGCTTGAAACAAGGACAGCAAATTTTTTGTCAAGGGCTAGTTGGCAAATAACTTAGGCTCCTTAAGCCACGTGTCTCTTTTGCAACTACTGAACCATGTCCTTTTAACATGAAAGCAGCCATAGATAATGTTAAATGAATGATATGGCTGTATTGCAATAAAACTTTGTTTACAAAAAATGGGTAAGATGTCCCCCACACGTTGCAGTTTGTCAGCATTTAGCTCAAACGATGAGCACATACGTTGCTAATATAACAAAGAGTTTAGAGGTAAGCAGATCTGGACCACTTTTACCCTTCCAGCAGGCCAGTGTCACATGTTGGCTTTCATTCTCAGTCTTGACACATTGTGGTTGTAAGATATTTCCATCAACAATAAGCTGGTTGATCCAGACTAGTCAGCATTTCAGGGAAGATCTCTCAGAAGAAGTGGTATTTATACGTTGAAGGAAGGAAGAGATGAGAAAGAATGTATGTGCAAAATGAACTTCCTGTGGAAAGAGAGGCAAGCAAGGGGTATGGCATATTTGAGGAACTAAAGTCTAATGATGCTTGGTTTATAATTTAAGAGGAATAATGGTGAGAGATGATTATTGGAGTACCTTATAAGTTATGTTAAGTTTGGAGTTATTCTTTTTTTTGTTTGTTTGTTTATTTTTGAAAGAGAGAAAAAGCAAGTGGGGGAGGAGCAGAGAGAAGGTGGACGGAGGATCCAAAGTGGGGTCTGTGCTGACAGCAATGAGCCCGATATGGGGCTGGAACTCATGAACTGTGAGGTCATGACCTGAGCTGAAGTCAGACACTCAACAGATTGAGTCACCAGGTGCCCCAAGTTTGGAGTTAATACTAAAGGCAGTGAGAAGCCAATGAAGTTCCAAGTAGGGTAATGATACAATCACATCTATCGAGGTATGAACAAAATGCTTTATTTACAGTGCACATAATAAGTGTCTAACATTAAAAAAATTTTGTTTTAATATTTATTTCTTTTTGAGAGACAGAGACAGAATGGGAGCCAGGGAGGGGTAGAAAGAGACAGAGACACAGAATCTGAAGCAGGATCCAGACTTTGAGCTGTCAGCCCAATGTGGGGCTTGAACCCATGAACCATGAGATCACACCCTGAGCCGAAGTTGGATGCTTAACTGACTGAGCCACTCAGGCTCCCCTAAGTCTCTAACATTTTAAATGTATTTTCTAAGTATCAGGAATTTTGCTAAGGGTTGACATGCATTATCTTATTTAGTTTTTATATGAAAATCAGTACAACATACAGCATAAGTTTACGCAGTACAAAGTAAGAAGAGTAAGAACAATAATGGTAAAGGATTTTATAATTTTATAATTTTTTAAATTGGGAAAAATAAAAGTAGAGAAAGGAATGCTCAAGAAGAAATTAATGAGCCTAATAATACAGAAGAGCTCTTTTATTAAACTTTTGAGGAAAAAGATACCGAATTAGATAATTCTGAAAAATCTTTTACAAATATAGCAATGAATTAAGTATAGTTCTTGGAATTCCTAGGACATTGGAATGACTATATCTTACAGTGTGGTAAGTGGGTCTATTTATTTTATTAATCTTCTGAATAAGGAAGGCCAAATGAAAGCTGGGAGAGTATCTGGAGTTTCTAGACACTAAAAGGTGTTTTTCCTTATAACACTATGTGAAAGACAAATTTAAGAAAGACACCAACTGAGCCTTGTCTTATATTTTTTTGAGAAGTTTTAATGATGTTAATTTTTAATGTTTTACATTTATAAAATTAGGTTTTAAAGAATATTTCATCTTTAAACATTGACATTTTTCTTGTTTTTATTATCTTTCCCCCCAAAGTTTTAAAACTTAAAATATTTATGATGTCATTAGATATTTGTATTTATTTTATGGAGACATGTCTTTGCAATATGAAAACAAATTTTGTTAATAATAGTTATTGAGTCAAAATTGGACACTTTACATTATTTTGTTAAGCACAATATAACAGAGTCAAGAATCAAAAGTATAAAACTTGTCATGGCATCTCATAATTACCGCTTGATTTGATGATTGTGAACATTGTACACCCCATCTGAGTCTTCTGTGGGTTCACGCTGTGTGTTCTTTAGCAACATTTCGATCAAACTCCATAAAGTATAGTTGGCTTTTCTAGACTTCTGTGAAAAATTTGTTGTGAATACATAGTCACTACCACCAGTGACATTCTCCTACTTATTTTGAATCCTAGTGCCATCCCTAAGAGTAGGATTTGGATGGATTTGATTTAAATCTGTTTTTAATCAGGGTTTATTGCCTAGTAAAATGCTTTCTTAATTTGAGTAACTTTAGGATT